CTTTAAAAAAGCCTTAATCTAATAATATAAACTTTAAGGCTATAATAATTATAAATCTTAATAAGATTTAATTTAAAAGGCTTAAATTCCTTATAAATAACTATTAGGTTAATATTTAAGCCTATTAAAGGTATTAAAAGGCCCTTTTAGTTACTTAATAATTTATTATAAAGACTATTAGTAGTTATTATAATATAATAGCTATTAAAGATAGCGTTTTAAGATAATTAAAGCTATTATAAGCTTAGCTATAACTTATATTATAAAAATATAAAAGAGAGGTTTTATTAAAATATAAATTAGTATTAAAGAGCGCTAATCGTACGAAAATTAAGGCTTAAATTATAAGCTAATAAAGGGTATTAGTAGAAGCTCATTAAATTAACCTGCCTAATATAAAAGAGCTTTAATTAACCCTAGATTTTATAGCTATAATAGCCTTAAGTTAAATTAATAATTTATATAAATAGTATTACTAGCGTTAAAAGGCCACGAAAGGTAAGAGCGGTTTTTTATTCTCTACCTTCTAAGAAAGCCTATTATTATTAGAGACTTTAAATCTATTATAGGTACTAAGCTAACCTAAAAATAACTAATAAAAAAGGTTAAAAACGGCTCTAAAGTGCCTCTACGATTAGAAACACTACTATCGTGAGTGTCTGTACCTAAACGAGCCTCTTAGAGATCTAACATGGAAGCCTAACGCCGAAATTAAAGCTCAAATTCAATAGAAGCTGTTAGACCCGTCCATTAAGGCGAAAGTCGATCGAGCTCGTTAACGGGCTTCTAATCAAGTTGATTAAAAGCAGCAGGAAAACCCGGAAAACGCTGAAAACGCTGAAAACGCTTAAATCGATGAAAAAGGCTATGACCAACGAAAGCACGGGTTAAATCACGTGAAGCAAGTAGCCGCATTATCTATCTAGTTAATCCATAAGAATATCTACCCTTTAAGGGACTTTTTTATCCTAGATTCTAGGTTAAACATATATATTTATAATAACCTTAATTAATTTACCGACTATTAAGTCCTTTAATAGCTTAAAGAAGCCTTTATAAGCGATATAAAGCTTTAAATTAAAGGCTACGAAAAGGTCTCTCTATAAATATAAATAAGGCTCTTTTAGCTAAAGTAAGTAGCTTTTATTCTAACCTTTTATATAAATATAGCTTTATTAGATAGCTTTTTAGAAAAGAGCTATAATTAAAACCCGGTTATAAAAGCTATATTAAAGAATAATAAGGTTATCTTCTATATAAGGCGTTATTTTAAGTAGCCTATTATTAAATTTAATGAAATTTATTAAATTAAAAGCTTTTAATTTAATTTAACGTAATCTTAACCCTAAAAAACAGCTTTTATTAACCTTTAGCACTAATAGTTAAGCTACTTAAACGCACCCTTTAATTATTTAAGGCTTAAATTTTAAGGTAGTATTAATTAGATATCTATTAAATCTATTAAGATAATAATAAAAGCCTTTAAATAGCTTATAAGGCTTAGATTAACTATAAAGGTATTATTAATAAGCTTATATTACTATATACACTCGCTTAAAATAGCTCTACTAAAAGGTTTAAGGGTGTTTTAGGGTTAAAAGCTTATATAATACAGCTAGTAGCTAACCTTTCTACTAAATTATAGCCTAAGATTTAGAAGGCTACTACTTACCTTTATAACCTATTACTATAATAAGGCACGAATTAAAAGAAGCTCTTCTAATAGCTTTAATAGTAGCTCTAATTAAATAATCGTAATATAGGTTATTTAAATAGGCTTAATATTACACATTTAATCGTATACGGCTATAAGGCCTATTTAATAACCTAAAAAGCCCTTTAAGGCATTTAAAAATAAGCTTTTAAGATAATAGCCCACGTAAAAATTAGCTACCTTATTAAATATAACTCTACTAATATTTTCCACATATAAATTCCATTAAAATTAGAAGTTAAATAGGTTAAAGATATAACCTTTAATAAAAAAACCTTCTATTAAGGCTTAATTAATCAAATTTAACTAAAGAAGCTATAATAGCTTAAATTTTTAACCTATATTAAATCTAATAATAGTAATACTAATAAGGTATAATTTATTATTAAAGTTAATACTTAAGGCCTTTAAGCTAGTTAAAAAGAAAGTTAATTATTTAAATCTAATATTTTTAAAGACCTTAAATTAAATACGAGCGGCTCTTATTAAAACCTTTTAACGCTAGCTCTATTAAAGCCTTTTAATTAAGATAAAAGACCTTAACGGTTATAATAAATTTCTAATAGGGCTCTTAATAGCTTTTATAATAGCTTTTTAATTAAATAGCTTAAAAGGTTATATAAAAGAAGCCTATTACCTAAATCTTAATATTAAAAAGAGCTATAAAAGCACCCTTATAAGCTTAAATTTAAAAAGGCTACTTAAGCTAAATATAATACCTTAACTTATTAAGAGACCTTTTAATTAGTTTAACTTAATTAAATAAAACGGTTATATTACCTATTACTATTAACTTAAATATTTAAATATAAATACAATAAATACGAATTTATTAATAAATTTAAGGCTTATTTATACGTATAAAATAACCTTTAATTACCTAATAATAAGGAGATATACGCTATTACTTTAACTAAAAGGTTATTTTAAACCCTAATAGTTATTATAGTTAAATTTAACCTTAAAGCTAGGTAGCTTAACGTAGTAAACGCCTTTATAAATAACTTAATTAACGAAGAAGTTTACGTTAATAAATTCGTTTAAAGCACTAATAATCTAGCTAATAGATTAATAAAGATTCTAATAAGCTAATAATTTAACCGCTTTATTAAGTAATTAAAGCTCGTTAATATTATTAGTATTATTAAAAGAGCTTAAGTTAACTAATTTAACTTACTTTAATAGCTATTAATAGCTTTAATAGCTAGCTATTAACCTAATTTATAGGGGTATATTAACGCTAAAGGCCCCTTTTAATGGAAGATAGCTACTATTTATTAGAGACTTTAATAAGCTTTAAAACGCCTTAAATAGCTGCTTTTTAATTGTACAAAAAGCCTTAAAAGAAGGCTCGCGTTACTATTATATTAAAGCTAAACCTTTAATAGCTAAATACTATAAAACCCCTTAAATTAATTACTTTTTAGGTAATCTATTAATTAACTTTAATATCTATAAATAAGAGCTTATTATTCATACCTAGATAGTATTAATCAAGGACAATTCCACTATTCAATCTGCTTCCATAGCTGTCAACGTGATAAGACACATGGACTGAGCAGACCGGCGCCCCGTTTCTACCGAACATTATAGATACGGACCGGCGCTGCTCTGATAAAATCATTACAGGTCACGGAGACGGTTCTGATCCTTCTACGCCCAACGAAGAACTAGACAAATGCCATAACGCTGTCGATAATGTGCTACGCAATTCCAAGTATCTGGCTCCTCTGAAAACTGCACCCATGCCAGATCTCAGCAACTCGTCTACCGCGTCTGTTGCCGTGCTAGGAGAAGCGGCCGCCGGAAAGGTCCGCATCTTCCACAAATCGGGCAATGACTGGCTATACGTGGCCGTCAACTACAACTTGTCAACGCCAAAGGCCCCTTTCAATGGAAAAAGGCTGCTATTCATCGGGGACCCCGAAAAGCTTAAATAGCTGCCTTCCGATTGTACGAAAAGCCTCCAAAAGGCTCGCGCCACCACTAGCTAGATACCGTAAAATCCCTCAAATTAATGATTAATGACTTTCTAGGTGACCTGCTAGACGACCTTAATATCTATAAATAAGGGCCTATTTTCCGTACCTAGATAGCTTTAATCCCAAGGACAATTCCACTCTTCAATCTGCTTCCATAGCTGTTAACGTGATAGTTATGAGCGAAGAAGCCTGCTATGGAAGCTGCTAAGAGCCCTATCAGAAATCCGTTGTGACCGTCTTGGGCCTTCGAATTGACTGCTTTGGTTAGAAGGTTCTGATGGAGCCGGCGTTGGAAGGTCTTGATGAGGGCTGCTAATATCGGATTCGAAGTCTTCGAAGTTGTCGGACCCGGATGACTGACTTCCATCTTGACCAGCTTGGAAGCTTTAAGTGTTGACTTTTATGACCGACCGTATCAAGTTGACAGCTATGGAAGCAGATTGAAGAGTGGAATTGTCCTTGATTAAAGCTATCTGGGTACGAAAATAGGCCCTTATTTATAGGTATTAAGGTTATCTAATAGGCTACCTAAAAAGTTATTAATTTAAGGGGTTTTATAATATTCAGCTATTAAAGGTTTAGCTTTAATACGGTGGTAGCGCGAGCCTTCTTTTAAGGCTTTTCGTACAATCGGAAAGCAGCTATTTAAGGCGTTTTGGGGCTTTTCGGGGTCCCCAATGAATAGCAGCCATTTTCCATTGAAAGGGGCCTTTGGCGTTGATAGACCGTACCTCGTCGGTATCGCTGTCGTCGTCGGACTCGATATGGGTCAGAAATTCGAGCTGTTGTGGCTTCTTTGGTTGAATTTAATGAATTTAGCCTTAATAGAAGGTTTTTTCATTAAAGGTCACATCTCTGACCCGTCTAACTTCCGATTTTAATGGAATCTATACACGGAAGACGTTAGTTAAATCGTATCTAATAAGGTAGCCGATTTCTGCGTGGGCCGCTGTCTTTAGGGACCGTTTTTAAACGCCTTAGAGGGCTTCTCGGGTCATTAGATAGGCCCTGCAGCCGTACGCAACCAAATGTGTGATGTTAGGCCTGCCTGGATAACCTGTATCGCGATTATTTAATTGGGGCCACTGTTAAAGCTGTTAGAAGGGCGTCTTCCAGTCCGTACCTTATTATAGCAATAGATTGTGAAGGTAGGCAGCAGCTTTCAGACTTCAGGCCATAATTCGGCTGGAAGGTTAGCTGCTAGCTGCATTATACGGGCTTTTAACCCTAGAATATCCCCGGACCTTTGCAGGGCCGTTTTGAGCGGGTATATACGGTGATGTAGGCTCGTCAATGATGCCTTTATGGTGGACCCAGGCCTCGTAGGCCGTCTGAAGGCTTCTATCATTATCCCGATAGATTCGACAGATGCCTAGTTGATACTGCCTTTGAATTCGAGCCTCGAATGATTGAAGGGAGCTGGAAAGGCACCCTTACGGGCTTGAATTCAAAAAGGCTGCCCAAGCTGAATATGATGCCCTGACCAGCCAAGGGACCTTTTAACCCGTTTAACCCGATCAAATTAAACGGCTATAACGCCCGTTACCGTTAACTTAGGTGTTTAAATACAAATACGATAAGCACGAATTCATTAATAAATTTAAGGCCCGTTTATGCGTACGAGGTAACCTTTAACCACCTAATAATAAAGAGACCTACTTTATAACCTTAGCTAAAAGGTTATTTTAAACCCTAATAGCTATTATAATTAAATTTAACTTAAAAGCTAAATAGCTTAACGCGGTTAATATCTTTATAAATAGCTTAATTAACGAAGAAGTTTATATTAAATTTCCTAAAGAATTTAAACGGCCTAGTTAAATAATAAAGCTACTATAAGCTTTATATAGGCTATAAAGGTTAGCCTTATTATAGTAATAGACTTTTAGTAAAACCTTTAAGTAGCTAGATTTAACGTTTTATTTAAAGAACCCTTATATCTTTAATAGCTTAATATTAATAGTCTTTTTTTACGTTAATAATATTATTTTTTTATACTATTAAATAGCTTTTAAAGCTATTAATTAAATAATTTAAAAGCTTAAATTAACCTATAATATAAAGAATCTTAATAAGCTATAATAGTTTTTAGGTATTTAAGTTCTTTAAGATAAAGCTACTTATAAGCTTTAGCTATATTAGAATTTTTATATTAAAAAACTAGCTATAAAATTTAATATCCCTAAAAGAGATAGCTTTAAAGAAAGTCTAATACTTAAAAATTAATTATAGCTTAATTTAAGTATTATAACTACTATTTAAATTTATTAATATTAATAAACTATTAGCTCTATTAATTATATCGCGATTATTAGAAGACCTAATATAATTAAATTAATAAATAAGCTAATTAAATTCCTATTTAATTTATTAAAAACCTATTAATAAGTTATTAATTAAGTTATTAAGTACTTATATTTAACGTAATACCTAATAATAGAATTTAATAGCCTTTAAGATTCTAATAACTTAAAGCTTTAAATAGCTTTTAATATTACTTTTATAAACGACTAATAAACTTAAAAGTTATTATAAAGCTTAATAATTTAATTATTTAATAAACCTAATAGTTAAATAATTAATAAGTAAGATATAATTATAATATTATTAATTAAAGCTAAATTATTAGCTTTTATTTTGTGCAGGGAAAAACCACACACAACATAAAGGATCGTAAATAACAGTCAAAATATCAATTAAAATACCGGTCAAAATACTGTGAACACAACAGCCACGAGGGCCAAGACGGCTGCGGATAACCGCTTTATTAAGTAATTAAAGCTTATTAATATTATTAGTATTATTAAAAGAGCTTAAATTAATTAATTTAGCTTACTTTAATAGCTATTAATAGCTTTAATAGCTAGCTATTAACCTAATTTATAAGGGTATATTAATATTAAAGGCCTCTTTTAATAGAAAAAGGCTATTATTTATTAGAGACCTTAAAAAGCCTTAAAAAGCCTTAAATAATTACCTTTTAATTATACGAAAAAGCCTCTAAAAGGCTCGCGTTATTACCCTATTAAAGCTAAACCTATAATAGCTAAATACCGTAAAATCCCTTAAATTAATAACTTTTTAGGTAACCTATTAAATGAACTTAATATTTATAAATAAGAGCCTATTTTCCGTACCTAGATAGCTTTAATCCTAAGGACGATTCCACTCTTTAATCTGCTTCCATAGCTGTCAACGTGATACAACTTCACCGCTGCGGAAATAAAGAAGGGCCTGGTACTTGGCATTGACGCCCGCGACGTTCGCCGCCCGGATGTCTGGGATGGTAGAGCCACGGTACAGTTCAGCGTCAGTGACGGCGGAGAAACGGCCAGGGACTCGGTGGCTCTCCGTGTTGCTCCTGTCTTGACACACCACCATCTGCAACAAGCCAGCGAGATCATTACAACGAAGCCCGGGGACAATGGCTTCGGAGCCAGGTTTGCCAAGGAGTTGCAGGTTCACATAACAAAGGCCGGTATCCAGAAACCACTACGGCTGGTTGGGGGAGATGCGTTTCCCCAGGATCATTTTGAGGCTGGGTATACCAGTATTCCTGGGCCAGAAGGACCTGTTACGTTAGGAGTTATGATCCGGTCCGCCATCAATGACACTGATGGCAAGATTGCCTTCACAGATATCAGATCCGACTCCGTTGGAGCTGTCCAGCTCCTCCAACTTGATAACGATGATACCGACGTAGATCACACGGGCAACCTGGAGACGATTCCTGCCCATACACATAACGGCAAGTCGTATCCAGCTGGACGTGCAATCATGGGGTCGCGAGGCGGGCCGAAAGCCAACATCGTCAAGTTCCTAGAGGCCCAGGAGACCCAAGCGCCAGTGGAAATTGACACAACGTGGCTGTATATCGGCCACACGGATGAGTTTATGCAGTTTGTCCCCGCGGACAACGAGCGCGGCTGGGCCACGATGGTGGACGATCCTCTTGCTGGCCTTGATCTTTTGGTAAAGGTTCAAAAGACAGGCCATGGCGATGTTCGAGCCTTGTCCAGGCCGAGCTTCCCTACTGACAGTGCCGATAGCCGGACGCCAAATAATGTCAGTCTTCCGGCTATCACGATCGACGGCGTGCTCAGGCGGGCCAACTTTTCCCGGGTCCAGGAGTACGCTGCATGGAACATTGAGAGAAACATCAAAATTATAAAGCAAGAGGTGGGACTTGACGATAGTGAGATCTTCCGCGTGCCGGCACTGTACTACAACGAAGCGATGGGAGGCCCAAGACCGTATCGGCCCAAAAAGTACTTGCCAAAGCCGGGCCAGGGGGAGGAACACATCAAGGACCGCGACCACGCGTTCCAGGTATATGCCTTCTACCCCGGCGCCGTCAATGGCATAGTCCTTGGAAAGGGGAAATACTTGTCTGCGGACGTATGGGGCCCCATCATTGACGGCAAGGACATTCTCAAAGAAGCCGTCAATGCAGCATATGCCAAGGCCAACGTGACGGTCGACTATATCGACGACTGGTGGTCGCACCATGTCGGTATCGGCGAGATACACTGCGGCTCAAACGCCATTCGCGACACTGATTTTCCTTGGTGGTAACTTGCCAATCAGGTTCAACTAGCATCGTAGCCATGCTTTTTGCCCCCGGGTGGAAATATATCCAACCTATAGCTTCCGTCATGACGAGAGGTCACTTTTCCGAGACGGCTGGTATGGTTTCTTTCTACAGTATGTATTTACTTTAGGCAAATCTGAGGCTACCGCCTCTCAATACAAGTGGTGCCTTGAGCACAATCAGCTCAACCGCTGGCCTTCACGACTTTTATATGGTGCTGCTTACGAATTTGTTATACCGTAGTCTGCAGAGGGAAACTTGGGCCTTGAGCTGTATTTCAAGGAACTACTTAAATGGGTTCACTTAAAACATTCCAAGCAACCCCATTCACCCCATGCATACTTCAAGCTCTGCTATAATCATTGGTGCTATTCTGGTCACATCATCTCCAATGCAGCGGGTCTAGTCGGGCTGTGCAAAAGGACCATGCAAATCCATTCAAGCAAGTCTAAAAGAGGAGCAGCATTATTACAACTGTATCTGGAAACATGTGACTAATGAAGAGGAGCCCATTTCTACGCAGGTTTCCGCGGTTAGCAGCCAAATGTAGCATAACTCATGGAACCCCCTCAAGGAAGGAAAACGGGGCACGTTATGACTCGTATCAGTTTCTCGTCCTCTGAAATTGGGACCCTCAAGGCTAAAAAATAACACGTTCAAAAAATAACTGGTCCATTTTGTCCGCGGCATGGATAACTCGCCAAGACATTTGGCAACTCGAGTCTGTAGAGAACTTGTACGCGTTTCCTAGCAAAAACACAGTCTAAAACGGTCCGACATTTAGCATCTGGACCTGCTTTCTCTTGCCATGCACCCATATTATAAGCTAGGACTACATCGCCACCCAATTCAGCTTGATGTGCTATAGCTTGCCAATAGCATTGACAAGCGTGTGCTCGCATAACGAGCATCCCATGCTCCTTTATAAGAGGTAACACTGCTTCCCCATCGTCGATCGCGTCACTAAACCAGCTTGATGCCGCGAAGCTAGGCTGTCTCCGAACCAGTTCATGTACTGCTGGCCCACTGAAAGTGGCCAGCCAAATGGGAGTCAGTCTACCGCATCTTACAGTACATCTAGGTTTGCTGTTGATGATTGTGTCTCGCCTAGGAGTAGGCACAGCTCCCTCAGGTTGGAATCACTGCTTCTCTTCTCTTCTATGCTTGACACATGAGAGAGTATAAGACTGAGAAAAATCGAGTCCCAGTACATGTTTGACGGTAGGTACATCCTCTCTATGTTTAATGGGCAGGGTAACTTTCGGCGTGCTATTTCAGTGATAACCTCGTTCTTTACCAGACAACTAGTATAAATTGCTAAAAACTTTTTTTTTTTTTAAAAAAAAAGGGGGGGGGGCTAAATGGAGGACATCTAGTAACACTAAAACTTGGCCGTACCTAGGCTAGGGAACTGTAATTAACTACGATTATAATTTATATTATTAACTTTTTAGTTTTATTTTAACCTGCTTTAATAATTATATAGCTCTATAACTTTAGTCTATTAAAGTATAATCCGACAAGGCCTAAATAGGTGCAAAATAATAGTTGTGGAGAGTAACTTAATTTAAAGTAAGAGAGTTCTATTTTAATATAAGAGTAAGTTTATAAAGAAACCTATAATGGAAATGGAAACCAGGAGCAGGTGCAATCAGGTAACCAAAAGTAAAAGGTAGATTGTATACATTAATGTATGTGCAGACAAAATCTAGGATCTCAGTCTTAAACAGAACTTATTCTAGAGGCATATTCAAGACCTTCCCACAAGCCTCCCTTCCTCGTCGTTACTAGCAATGCATCCAGGTCCTTCTCCAAAGCGTTATATCTCTTCTTCCTTGTCTTCCATTTCTCGTTGCTAGCCCAACTCTCTGCGCGTGTTGCTCGATTGCGACTATATGTTGTTATTTTATCAGGATCTGCACGCTCGTCAGTCTCTCCACAATCCTCCGTAACGAATTGAATAAATTTATCCTGCAATTCGTAGCTCAAGTCAATATTGGATTTGACGTATTCCATAGCCATATCATCTGCCACTTGGGCTATTTCCACGGATGGTGAGGCCTTAGAAACGGCAGCTTCTGCAAGCTCTCGTTTAGGTTCGACGTATCCTTCCGAAAACCCCTTGTCCGCCCCGTCCAATGTCTCATGAAAAGTACCAACGGCGTAGACCAATTCAACGCCGGATACGCAATGCCCTGCAAAGGGCCCGGAAAGGGATTGCCAAACTCGATGTAGTAACTTTGAACACCCAGACGGTTCGGGTCCTGGCCAGAGACAAAGTAGAGCTTGCTTCCTGCGATGAGTCTTGAATTTCACCCGCACGATGTACTTTGTGTACCATTGTGGCATCAAAAATAAACTGAGTGAGCGCCTCGAAAAGCTCTCCTTGAGACGATGTGGGCAGGATATTATACGCTTGAAGAACGTTTTCAGCTGCTGCCTTTGAGGTGTAGCTCGATGTGAAAAGAGAGTGAAACTTGGCATAATCCCACTTGGCCAAAGGAACAAAGCTACTAAACTCTTCGGCGGTCGTGCCGATCATGATTTGGATTTTCTCGTCTGTCGCTTGGACCTGATTGTCCACCTCGTCATCCCCAAGGTGCAAGGTGGATGGAAACCTCACAGCCCAAGTTGCTTTTTTTGATGGTCAATTCATCAATGACGAGTGCGAAAAACCACCAGTGCAGCTCCGAGACGCTACGAAGCAGGCGTCTCGCAGGTATTCTTTTCAACATGTTGAGTCGGTTGACGGGGCTCTCCGCCTGAACTGCCCACAGTCGACACAAGTCTGCACACGGAGATATAAGTGCCTTCGCTGCTGCAACCGATTACCTTGAGGAATAAAGGTTGATGATGAGAAAGGAAAATAGAACAGGGCGTGGTGGGAGATGATGCCCTCTGGCCTTTACTAGTTGGAGACTGCAAGCAAATTGGATGCATCATTGATTGCCACAAGGCCGATTACTGCAAGTAGCTGCTTGATTTGACTTGATTTACCAGAACCGTCAATTTATGTGCCGGAAGCAAGCAGCTACACAGATCCCCCAGGGGCAAGCGGCGTCCTACGGCTAGACACGACTAAATACTTGACAGCTTCCTCCTTGCTATATCCGCAGTCAAGCCCATGAGAATCCCCAATCCTAGTTGTCGGTAGGGCCAGACGCCGGGCCGCAACATACAGGTCAAATATCCCACCGCAATTAGCATCTCGAGCCTCGCACCCGTCAGCGGCATATGAGCAATAGAAAGAACGAGGCAGCGGCGCCAAGGTAAAATCCCGAAGGAATGAGAGGCTATTTTGCAGCTTGCTCTTGGGGAGAAAACCCTTCGCGACCAGGTATACTTTTAAAGGCAGAGCCTTCTAATATCTCATACCTTCCTTAGCTACAAAGTCAGCTGGAGGTCTATGTGTTCTCGTCAAGACTGGCCAGGCATTTTAAATGTAGATAAACAGTATCCTTTGTTCCTGCCCCGTTGACACGCTGCATTGAAATAAATGCGTCGCGAACCCAATGCAAGCCGCCTGGGCAATCACAACTTATGCCCTAGTCCACACGCACATACAGGTACAACAGAACCATAACGCACCAAGCATTCAGTCAGCAAACACCGTCTACAAAGCAGCGTCCTTGGCCCGAGCATCACACAAGGAGCAGAGCAGAGCAGAGCGTCAAAGCCAAACTGATGCGATATCATTGGAATCTATCCTCTTAGCAGGTGAACTCCGCCCTTGCCCCATCGAAAAGCAACGCAACGCAACGCAAATGTAATGCACGCTCAAAATACCGCACGCGCCATCCCATACTCAATCCTCTATTGTCCCAAATCTTGCCGACAAAATCTGACTCAATTCAGCTAGCTTTACTGGCTTGGTCAAAAACAAATCGATCCCGCTTGTAAATGCCTCCTGCTGCGCATCCGCACTCGCTAACCCCGTCAGCGCAAAGATCGTACACCGATGCAGACTCTTTTCCATTTCCGTGTTTCGTATATGCCGCGTTGCTTCGAACCCATCCATCATCGGCATGGAAATGTCCATGAAAACACACTTGTAGAGACCGTTTCCTTCGCGGAACAAGTCGACGGCATGTTGGCCGTTTGTGGCGGTGCGGTAGGGCAGCCGGAGTTTCTTCATGTAGGTGATTAGGATTTTGAGGTTGATGGGGTTGTCGTCGACGAGAAGGAAGCTTGTGCCTGGTTGGTTGGAGTCGATGTCGGATGTGGTTGAGTCGGGGTATATTGCGGTGAGAGGGGTGGAGCGACGGACTCGTTCAGGCAGCGAGATGTCATGAAATGAGTTTGAGATGACGGACTCGGCTGTTCCGTCAACATGGTGCGAGTTTCTTTCCGGGGCGGCGGCGGTTGTGTTGCTTGGGTGAGGGCCGTCTTCGTCTTCTGGCGTTTGAGTAGCCGACAAGGGGTTGAGAGTTGCTTGGTAAGTTGTCCATCGCTTGAATGTTAGTGATAGGACTTTAGCGAGTTTTCGAGGGCCAACACTAAACATGACGTCAGCACTTGGTAATCGTCTTTCTTTTTTGGGAGCAGGACGAGGCTTACGGTTGGGCGCTAAACTCCCACAACTGGTCGTTGGGTCTGCGCTTGAATGTTTTGTTCTCTGCCAGGTCGCGAGCGGATACCGCATTCCTGCAAATGACCACTGCGGGAGGTGAAGAAGCGTTTCGCTGGGTATGGATGTGGGAATTCAGGTGCAGATACGTCTCATCGCATAGCAACAAATCCGGTACAAAGCTGTTGCTTTGAGATGGATCTACCACCTGCATTTGCAGCCAATCTCGGCATATATTCGCAATGCCCTCGCGTTCAACTACATTCGTTCCAAACACACCGTCGTCACTGTCAACAGATGGTGTATCACGGAAGCCCAAAAGAAGCACTCGTAAGCCCCTCAAATCGTTCTTTTGAGACTCAAACTCGTGACCGGGATTCTGCAACCTCGGAGTTGCAGTTTCGGGCACCACGGGAG